GGAGGAGAGGGGTCCCTTTGACCCTCTCCGGGATGGCGCCCTTCCCTCCTCAACACCCGAGGGAGGGGCCAGGTGTAGGATGGGTCCGGTAGCGTTCGTCACGAGATCCCGGGCCCACCCCGCAACGCCGAGGAAGGACCACCGTGGGGGGTTTAGCCGGTAAGAGTCCGGCACTACCCCGTTTCCCTCCCCCGGGAGGCGGGGTGTCCACGAGGATCTCCCCCACGTAAAAAAAATAAAAAAAAAGGGTTATCCTGACCGTCCGAAAAGGATAGGTATCTTTGTGAATTTTTTCTGTGAATATAATGAAATAAACGAGAAATTAGTTAGAAAGCCTTCAATATATATATTGAAATGCCTTTGCACTGTTAAAATTTGATGTTCGATGACACATACAATTTTTGACTAATTTTTATTAATGGATCGGTCGAGGTGGAGATGGAATTTGCAGAGCAACTGGTAGTTAGAGGTGACGACTTAGAAAGAAGAGGCAAGAGCCTTGGGTTTTTCCCAAGTAACATGCCCAGATCCCTTGTCTTACAGCAGGGATTTTGTATTAGAAAACACACGAAATATATAAAACTTATATTGACGTATGTAGATAGTAATAGTGGGTAAATTTTTCTATAGTTTTTTGTGTGTTTCCTAACTGACACACTCACTTTAGACAACTGTTAGGACAAATATTTTTCATTTTGATAAAAATATTCCTATTAATCTTAAAAAAAGACCTGTTTTTGTTCAGGCATTTCTTTGCGAAATAAAAGAGGTATCTATTTTCTGGTATTTATCTCTTATAAATAACTATTATGTATATTGAACTTTTAATGAAAAAGAAGAATAATAGTTTGTCTAGAATAATACATTGATTTCGTAAGCCTTGCAAATCAATTTCATTCGACGAGCAATATATTTAGCAGGCAACAGGTTAAAGAACATGTAAAAACTGACCTGAGCGTCCACTTTCGTTCCACTGGTGTCGTCCCATACGACTTTGTGTCTGACGTCACTGGTAGGAGACGTCCGGCCCAGTGTTTCCTTCACCACTTTCACCACCTTCGATTTATCGAATTTAAAGTTGAGGCTTGCTGTTATCAGGTCTTCCGGTTTTTGTTTTTTCGACATCGGCTGGTGCCTCTTCGTGAACCAATTCGACGGCACCATAATGGACGATTTCGAGGATAGGCCGCCAGCGAGTTTGCTCTTGGCACCGTGAAGGATCGACACGTCAAAGCTGTTCGAGCGAAAGCTCTTCAACCGACTTCGTTTTTGTTCAACCGTTTTGCCAGACCAGCTGGACTTGCTGTCCTCTCGCGAGCTCAAAGAATCGTCTCCGCATCGGTTAATCTCCGTTGCAGAGGACGCTAACGAACTCAGGATCGATATCAGATCGGTGTTGGAACAAACGATGCCTGCTGCACCGGAAACAGAAGAGCTCGCGGCTCGTGGCACCTCTAAGGCTCGTCTTCGGATGGAAGGTGTCGGCGACACTGACGGAGGAGGTGGTTCCGAGAATCGTCGCTTCTGGTATTGGGTATATCGTTGAGTGGAGCTGTTACCTTCTAGTGGTTGGATCTCGCACACTTGTTCTGTGGACGTCTTGTACATCTTCAAGCATACCTGGAACATAGTTGTAGGATTGTAAGCATTGTCCCTTCGTTCGTGGTTTTAAGAAATGAACGACGAAGGCAATAAAAGAGAAAGCGAGAATCGACAGGAACACGAAACAGGCCATTTGTCGCGAGGCCCATCGTAATATTTTAATTAAAATATCTTCTAAAGTAATGGTTTTTCGGTGTAAATAGCCTAACGCTTTTATATAGAGAATGACGAGCTGAATCGATTGATGTATTCGAAGAATATACAATTCCGTTTAAAGAAACAAACTTGACCTTCATATGTCCTTAACGTGTCCACTTACAAAAATGATAGTCATATCAAACAATGCCCCCCTCGAAACCAGTCAACGTTTATTTGAAGCCTTTTTCGATATAATTAACAGTTTTGAAAATATTCCAGCTTCTAGTCTTAGGTATATTTTTCAAAATACCTAAGTCGTCCACACTTAGACGAATTCAATGATTATAGTCATCAAGAAACTAAATTACGCCGTAAAGTGTGTGCTCCCTAAAATACATCAATTCTTCCCTAGTAACATTGTTTCTTATCAGGAATATTTTTGATAATATTCAATCGTCACGCTTCACACGTGCCTCACCCTGTATAATATGTACTTGTTATACTAGGAAATTCCAGATTGAATAATTTTTATTAGAATTTCAACACATTCGCTACCAGCGTCACATATGTACATACATATGTGTGACGCACCTCCATTTCCAACGAGAGCTCAGTGACATACATGATATGTGACGGGGTAACCCCGAATTTCATTTTTTCACTGCATAAACAAACGAAATCTGTTCTGAACCTGGCAAATATGCTTGAAAAAAGTTGAAGATATAACTAGCACACGTGGTGTGCCTGAGAGTATTTTAACACATTTATGTAGGAACCGAGGAAAAAATGAGGGACCCAAACGGGAATCGAACCCATGACCTCCGGGCTAGGTGCACTACGCGCTACACCAATAACGCCCTCTCTATTTTTTCCTCGTTGATGTTCCTTATTAAGGATTCGGTATGGAGGCCCCGATCCTGTATTTATTAAAATAAATTATTAGCTTGTGTCCCATTAGCATGGTTTGTGGTGAGAGTTTTGTCTCCGTGGCGTGGTAGCGAACGTGTTAATAATTTTGTTACGTTTTACGTTTACTTCATATTCGATAAGTGTCCTAATACTTATAACAACATATGCTAATAGAGAATCCTTCTCCTTTCCACTAAAGTGTCGCACGTGAAGATTTACTAGAAAACCAATCAGAAATTCGTTATTAAAGACACTGCTAAATATAAGAAAATTCTCACCTTCCTCGGTTTTATCTCTGCGATATCGTCCATGATATCCAATTGTAGATTGTGTGTGCTCCCACTGTTGCTGTATTGACTAGTACTGTTGGCTAGTATTCTGGTACCACCTCCGAGTGGGAAGGCAGCGATTGATTCGCGACGATTACGGCCAAACAGAGTTGGTGGCACTCTGGAAATCGTTACAACCGACTGCCTTCGGCCATTAGGCGGAGGAGCTGGTGCTTGAGAGAGTGTGGCCAGGTAAGCGGCTTCTCTCGACGATGGTCCCGATCCTTCTCCACCACGCTCGCTCAGCCGCCTCACCTGTTGATAGGAGTCGTTCGAGTTGAGTGCTTTCGTATCGACAATTAACCACAGGAGGCTGAGATGGAGATGAAGCTAATTGATAGGCCCTGGCGATTGCTAAAAGTCACGAGTTACCTCGAGAATTGGGGAGCCATTTAAAAATTCAGTTGACTTTAGAGCTGTTATAATATTATACAGTTGACTTTATTATTACTGTTCTACCGATTCAACGATACATATATGGTGCTTCAACGTAAATAGAATTTAAAGTGATGTACAATACGAATTATTTATTGTGTCAGGGATTATATCATATTTAACCCCGTCCGTGACTGAATATTCGTTTTGAAGAATTTATTTATCTGCCGGTTTATGGCGTCTGTAATAGATACTAAACTGAGATCAACTTTTGTTTAACTATTCAAGTGAGACGTATGCGTCCCACTGGTCACGAAACGGTTAAAGTACCTACTGCCGATAAAGAAGAAAATTTTTTGCATTTGTATAAAGCTGGACGGAATAACAAAAAATAATTACTTGGAGAATTAACGAATAATAAACAAATGATTATGAATTTTAGGTTATCTATACATAATGTAGAATGTCCTAGCAAAACTCGAACATCTGAATATTTTCTTTGTTTTTAATAATACTGCTACTATTTAAAACATAGTGAGAAATTCACAGGTATAACACGATGTAAGAAGAAATTTTTTTCCGTGGTCATTTTTTCTTCGAACATTTTAAGGTCACCAGTATTTGTTGCTATAAAGCATATATTTTTTGTTCGCATCTTATAGCGGATGCTAAAATGCATATTTGAGTCACGACATTGAGGTGACCTTGAGGTGAGCTTGAGCACCAAAAAGTTGATCAAATATCGAAGCAGTGTTAGGATATTATGTGAACGGATACGATACTTCATAAATGAACCACGTGATCAATATACGTATAAATGAACACGTTTCATTAAAAAAACACTGTATTTCGTAGGGTCAAAAACAACAGTGTTTCTAAATTTTCTTCGCAATGGAGTTACATTCTTTTATATGTATTTCTTTGTACAAAGAAATTAATATATTTTTCAGAATCAGGCAGAACAGTTAACTTTTTTTAAATATAGCTATTTAAAGAGGATATTATATAACGTTATGTAAAGGATATTATATAACGTTCTGATGCGTTAAAAATACGTTACAAAGAAAAGGGATGTGGTTCGTAAGTGCGCCCTTCCTGATATAATCATCAGACGGTACCTGGGATGCGATTATCCCGGAAGTGCATTGCGGAGTTGGTAGAGAGTGTTTCCTCGTTTCTCTCCATGGAGACAATAGATAAGGATTCAAGGAAGGCGAATCTGGATCCAAGCATCGTGGAGGCGATTCGTTTCTACGCTGTTCCGCTTCCTCTTCCACTAGTGTGCTTTCGTCGACGATGATCTGTGGTTCTCCACCACTTCCGGTGCTCAGATTCGTGCTGTAAGATTGTTTCCTCATTTTGTTTCAAGAACTCTGCCCTGAAAACAAACCGAAACTGTTGTTATTAACTATGTTCAATGTATAAAGAAAATTTGGAATTTTATGTAATAAAAATGATTTCTGAATTAAATGGCGGAAAGTGCAGCAACCCTCTTGCGTTCAGTGATATCGTTTTTTCATCGATAGACGATAGTTTAAGCGTAACAAAATTTATCCTTTTCACTTCTCACCGACTCGTGAAATCTTAACTGGGGAGAAATGCGGTGGAAACAATTTTATAAAATAAATTTCGTTATTTGTACTGCACGTAGATACATACATACGTACATCGCGGGTATTCAATGTGAAAGTTTGATAGTAACTTCACACGTACCCGAATTGTTAGATTTTCGAAAGAAAGTTCGTTCTTACATCGACGATATCGATTTATTAGATGCAGTTTATTTATACCCGTAGAATCAGCGAACTCCTACATTTTTTTTCGCAGATCATTGGGCCGAAAGATTTTTTTTCACGTAAAAGGGGACTGCCAAGTAACGTGCTCAGCTTCAAGCTCTATCGAAAAGAAAATGTAGAATGTCAATATTTGTGACACGTTCTCTACATGAAAGCTGATTTCGCTACCTGGTACCGAAAGTGAGTCCCAGATTGTAAATTACACTTTCTAGCTCTCAGTTCACCCCACACTACCACCAAAATTATTTACTTTCGAGTAACAAAACAGGAATCTTACTACCACCTATACCAGTGATTAAAAGCTAGCTAGAATTACCCCACACCTCATGTTCAGATATTTGAAGTAATACACTGAATCGAATTTACGTATAACAAAAAACCAAATGTGACTTCGAAAGTAGAAACGTTCCTCTATTTAATGAGATTAATATTAATAATTTATGTCGATTCCAAGTACCGATTTACCTTGCTTGAATATTGGCCACTGTTACAAGGTTTCGTTGCAAAATGAACATTCAGGTATTGTTTAACATAAAAGGCTGCTACAGTCACAGAAACGACGAATATTAACTAGTTGCATCAGTACCAAGTGGCAGTACCATACAAAGTCAAATCACGCGTTTTTCATTTCGAGATATTTAAGTGGCCGGAGTTACCCCGCTTTCCCCTAATGCGCATGGCAGACGATAGATGTTGAAACGTGGCTGCAAAATCTTCTGTTTTAGCGTTTGAAAGTTTTTAAAAAATTTTTAAATTATCGTTTTTAAGTTTCTCTTATTAAATTAAGGTGAAAGTGCGCAAATGATACAAATTAGGGTGGAAATGTGCCAACAGATGCCAATGGCGTAGCACGAGCATATTTTCAAGGCGCCAACAGCAGTGAACCGGTTAAATATACAATTATCCAATAGTAGATTAGATATGATTGATTACCACATTAGATTTAATGTTTATTTTACGTTTAGATATAAACAAATTTATCGTAATACTTATTTAATAAATATTCACTTGTTCTTATAATTAAGGCATCTTCATTTATTAAATCGTATTGTCTTTTTACCGAGTTATTTATACATTGATATAAAATTCGCTGTAATATTTGCTTGCAAATTGCTTTCTATTTTTCCTTAAGGAAATTCAGTAAGTTGAATACTTGGTAAAGGTATATTATGAGAGTGACAGGTTCCTGTATCTTGTGTTCGTTATTTTTCTTTTCCTTGATGGATACTCATGCAAGGGGGGATTTCCATCGTTAGCCGTAAACGGAACTTTTGCGGGACGGATGTGGATAAGGAGACAAAGATGGAGCACAGCGAAAGATCATGTTCCATGATTTGACCAAGTATATAAGAGCTGTTTTCATCCCATCAGCTACACTAAAACGTAAATCAATTTAAAGGTCTCGAAGTAAAGAGAGCACATTTGTTACTTTTTCAATTTATTGAAACTTTGTTCGAGGAAACATGAAGCTTTTTGTTCTTTTTGGTGTTCTCGCTACTGTCGCTTATGTCTCTGGTGCAAGTGCTCCCCAAGCAGTCTACGATGGTCCAATTTATGAACTAAGTAAGCAATACATTTACTTTATTACTATATATATGTACGTATAGTTGTTAGATCTGTCATGATTCATTCGAATAAAATCATTTAGAAAAAATGCTTTGAAAAAAGTACAGGTGAAGAAACTCTGGTTTATGAAAGTTTTGTCAAGTTTTGTCTAAAGCAGTTTCTAAATGGAAGTAATTCGACTAATAAGTTTACAATAGTAGGTATAAAAAATAGTCCGTAAAAAAATATATACTTAAGATTTTTATGTATCGTATCTTGTAATGTGTGATATGAAAAATAATGTCAGTGGTTGAAACGATAATCGAAACTCATTATTTCATTTTATGTAAATATCACGAAAATTAAGATTACTTAACATTCTGTACTTTGCAGGTAAAATTTTATTTTCATTTAGCAGTTATTTGTTACAGCTGTTTTTCTCATTGATAGAGTTTATATTTTTCACAGAAAACTTTTATGCCAATAATACACAAAAAGTGTCCTCTCCTTTTTGCATTACAATAAGAATTGTTAAAAAAAAATTATTTTAAAGTTATAGCTAGATAACAGCTGGAAAAGGAACATTAATCTAATCAGGAAGTAACATACATGAACAAGTACTGTTTCGTACAGTGCTCTTATTTATTCGGTTATAAGGCGTTACGGTCCTTTTTTCAACCCAATGTGGAATGGGATGAAGATTGTAATGAATATGTTTAGTGTAGTTGTTGTTCGGTTATGAGTTGCTTTATTATGGAGCCGTGGTTCGGCTTCTAGTTACAAGGCTCCTTTTTTGACTGATTCTATGTTAAACGGGGCTGCTTATACAGGGTATCCCGTAAAGAGTGTAACACCCGGAAATGGGGGGTTGCTGGGGTGACTCTGAACAACTTTTTCCTTGACCAAAATGCTGTTTGAAGCTTGGTTTTTGAATTATTAACGAAAAACACTGGCCAATCAGAGCGCGCGTAGAGCCCGCGCTCAGGGACGGCCGAACAGAGATTCACGCGTACGCTTGTTCACGATAGCGCGCGGGTGAATCTCTGTTCGCTCGTCCCTGAGCGCTGGCTCTACGAGCGCTGTGATTGGCCAGTGTTTTTCGTTAATAACTCGAAAATGAAGCTTCAAACTACATTTTGGATAAGGAAAAAGTTGTTCAGGGTCACCTCAGCAACCCCCCATTTGCGTGTGGTCCCAACGTTACGGGACACCCTGTATACGAAGCTTCGTATGTTTTCATCGAGTTTTATTTGTCCTAACGTATTCAAACACTATCTATCAAAAATCAGCACGAATTTTCTGCTCCATCCAATAAATAATCTTGACTCACTAATTTCATGAAACAGTTCAATACGTCAGAAAATGTAAATGAACAATGTACTTTTTAAAACTAAAAAGATTAAATATATTCATTAGGACCGGTTGAAGAGGATAATGGCGGTGGCCAAGCAGTTGCAGAAATAGAAACGGAAGATAATTCCACTGGATTACCACCAATTCGAGAACGCAGAGTAACATGTGACGTTTTGTCGTGGCAATCACAGTGGTTGAGCATCAATCATTCCGCTTGTGCTGTCAGATGCCTGACTCAACGGCGTAAAGGTGGTCGCTGTCAAGATGGCGTATGCATTTGTCGGAATTGAAGTGTTTAAAAATTTGCTACACTAAATTGTTTATGTTGAAATACTTAATCTCTGATTCGACTATTCTACATTCCATACTTTACAGATTCTTGTACGAAATCATTTTAGTATCATGCATTTTTAAATATTGTTCAATTAATACACTGCCATTGTATTTTACTGCTGAAATTGAATAATGAATTAAAGCGACGAATTTATATTGTATTTTTAACCTAGTACACCGAAAACTAGCAATCGGATAATGTATGATTTTCTACAAATTAATAATGAATATATATTACTATTCATGATTTCCATTAATTGTTTCTTATTTACATTACATCCCTATTTGGTTTTAATAGAAAAGAAACAAACTAATAGTTCCTCATATTTTTTTTTATCATTCTTTTATTTTCTACAGTATGTATAACAAATTCAATATACACTCATGTTCATAAGTTCTAGGACACTTACTGAATGTGAAGCATACTGAAATCGACTGAAGTCTAGTGAATTCTGCTGGACTCTATTGAAATCTACTAAAATCTACCGAGATCTGTTGAATTCTATTAAAATCTACTGTATTCTACTAATATCTATTGAAACCTTTCGGAACCTACGGAAATCTACTAATACCTACTGAATTCTACAGACGTCTACTGTAATCTACTAAAATCTTCTTATTGAATGTGAAGCAAACCTCGTTGTCGTTACAAGTTTAATATAAAATTATTTGACATACGAAAGGCATTACAAAATTATTAAGATCGTAAAAACAAATTACTCACTTTAGAATCTTGAAGTATAACGAGTACTTACATATGTATATTTTTACTAATATATGAGCTCCTCAGAAGCCAAGATGATTAACACCACTTTTTTGAAATTCTTTCAATTTTAGCATCAAAGCACATGCTTGGTGCATAATTCTTCATAAGTAAAAAAACATTTAATGGAGATAGTCATTTTGGCTTCTGAGTGGCTCATGTGACACTAATTCTGGCGAGAAAATGTAATTTAAATCATATAATTTTTTCTACACGAACATAATGGGTGTTCTGGTACTTGTGAACGGCAGTGGATGTTTGTTACGGAACGGGCCGTAACGGTTGAGATTGCCTTCGTTTCGGGTTGGTTAAAGGCGAAAAACTCCAGAAGTGTGTTTGATGTGGTTTTATTTAATGTTTTGTTCGAACGGATATCGTTCTAGATGTATGGTTTTAGATTATCTGTCGACCTTGTGCGGGTACGTCGGTTTTATACTAGTTTTGGCACCTTGCTTCCGATCAATCAATGGTCAGGAAAAGGGCCTCGGAGTCGAGCGTTGCTTCATGGGTTTTTTCCGACTCGCCCCCTTCCTACCTGTGGATGTTCCACGAATTAAAATAATTTACCACTTTCCTCAAAATTCCCTTGAAAAATATTTATTAGTTAAAAAGTTACAGAAGCTTTTTCCAGCGTAACACGGTTGAAAGAAAAGACGTGAAATCACCCATGTCGCACGCCCCGACGCCTAATGTGTTAACGTTACATTACTGTTCAATTTTGATTTCATCATTTCTCCTCACGTAGTTGGAAATTTTAATGCTTTTCACGGTCATCGGATTTCAGACTTATAATATTATTAGCAGCACATTAGCGTATGTTTCTGATTTAATTTGATGACTTACTATTTCACTGCTATGCGCGTTCAAAAGGAAAGAATTGGTAATTCGTTTGCTTCGCGTAGCGAGCATCAAGAACATTAGTCAATCAACAGAGAGAAGTTAGTAAGAAAGTTTCCAAAGGTCGGTTCATTTTCCAAGCTGGATTTCATGCAGGATATGCTTAAAATTACAAATTGAATGATTAACTGTGTTCTTGTAGATAAAGAGACAATTATGATATCGTTGCAATGATTTGGTGGTATTCTATCCATTTAATGTCAACTTTAGCTTGGATTTTCCATTAAAATTCCATAATTGATTAGAATTTTTCAGAAACAAATCGACTATTATGTTAGTACAAATTACATTTCTTCGCCAAAGTTAGTATCACATATCGGTAAAAGTATTAGATGTACAAATTAATTCCGCGCTTTTTCTCACAAAATTCAATTTTTACGTACAAAAAATCGAACACAATTCTAATGTTCAAAATAATGGAGATTATTTTGAAGAATCATTTTTACATTTATCGTGTAACTGACGACTTCCCTCTCTGAAAAAATATGGCGGGTTTGAGCTGATAAAGTCGTCAAGATTTTATGAAGAAAGGCACTGAATTAATTTGTACACCTAATATATAGGGTGTTCACGGTATTAGTTTCCAGCGTTTTTCTCATAAGTCATAGATTTACGAGAAAAATAGAAGAAGACAAGGTTTCAGCATATTTTATACTCAATGCGATGGCTTGAATAGATTTTTTTTAATTTGCAGTGTTTTTCGCGTAATGACAATAGCACGAATTTTTGAGCTGTCCTAATATGGAATACTTTTTTTCATGCACATATTTTACCTATTTACAATGCTTTTTAATAACCATAAATATCATGGTTTTGTAGGAAATTTTATGCTATTTTGACTGGTAACAGAAAAATTAAAAATATAATAACGGTTTAGACAATATTTATTATTTTTACTGAGGTCCTCATTTCACATATTTGGCTGATGGTGTGCTCCTAATATGAGATACTTTATTAGCCTAATATGGAATAGCATATTATAACGAATTTACTTTTTTGAAGATGGAAAGTAGGATATAAATAAGTAAGTAACGCGTCTGATAATTATTTTTATTTAAAAAAAACAAAATTTGTTAGTTTTTATACAAAATTATAAAGAATTGTTTACAATTGCTTCAATCGTAAGATTTGGGTTCTCTTTTAATTGTTTAATAAAACGAAACAAAGTTCCTGTAGGAACAGAATACATATGTCTTCTCCGCCTTCAAAAATCCAATTTTTTAATCTATAACCGCTTGTATCGCTCTATACATACCTTCTTCTTTCTATTTCTTTCTAACTTATACGATAGACGACATCTAAAGAACAGAAAACACGTTTCACTTAGTCGTAATGGAATTAGATATACATGGTCTCAAATATGAAATATTCCATATTGAGCTCCTCGAGGTATTCCATATTAGGAATATCATTGTTGTCTGAGTTTTCAGAAATATTGTATTAACGAGGCAGAAATTCATAATTTCCAGGATGGTTACACAAACCCGACCATATTTGAAAGATAATCACGCATAAATAAAGTTAATGTGCTTACTTTGTTATGTATAATATCAGTTTAAAGATTCCTATGTAAAAATTCGGATTCTGGGATTCTTTAACCCCTTAACTTACAACAACGTGTCAGAAGATGTGAGAAAAATAGTTATATTAGTAAGAAAAATTCATTGTAATCCTAACTTTCGTTTGAATTCGTAAGACTGAAGATTATTAAATGTAATTAATCCGCAACAGATTAGCTTTGGTTACCTGATTTACTGAACCAGTAAAATGGCTGACGCTTAGATGCATAGTCAGAAAAGAAATCATAGGTTAAGGGGTTAAGATCGTAGTATTTCATATTGGGGCACGTATTCCATATTAGGACAACTCATCCTATATGAAAGTGGTTGCCGAGATCTTATAAGGTACCTATAGTGAATGCCTTAAATGGAAATAAATAAATAAATAAATAAATATTTAGAAGATTCCATACTGAATCATTTTTCACAGGATCTTAACAATTTTGTAACGACTGTTTAGGTTTGCTTCATATTCAGTGTATGTATTATATTTTGTTATTGAAGGGAATGGTATCATAATATAGCGTTGTATCAACATATTGTGCGCAGTTCAGGAGCTATATTGTGTTCAGCAATTTAAACGCTAAATTTAGATCGCAAGGTCACGTTTATATCTTGCTAAACAGATGTTGATGTTCAGATTAAACAATATAAGAAAGTGGAAGTTTTGAATCCTACTAAAAGTAATTAAATGTCACTCAGCACGTTATATTCCTATATTGTCCTTGGCAAGGCCGAAGCATTCCTTTCCATCCAATTAATCAAGTTTTCAAACTATCCCAAATCGATCAATAATCTCTTTTGACAACACCAACGGTAAACACTTAAGTAGAGATCCCATTTTGTGCCGATAATTTCATTACTAGTGACCGTCGTTAAAGGCAATAAAACTAATTTCCTTTCCGCGTAACGGGGCATCGCGCGACCCAATTGTGGCTTTATTTATGGCAAGGCCCTTCGCATCGTTTTCAACGTCCACCGTGGAACCTTGGAAACGAGATATGTATTTAGGTGTTCGCCTTATGCTGGAACGCTCTTATATTATAATTTTCCGACAAGAACGATAGAACTTTGAATTGAAATAAAACGAGAAATGCGAAAGGTAATCTGGTGCTTATTATTTTATTTTGAAGTACATTCGATGGCATTATACACGAAATACAATATCGTTTAAATGACCACCACGATTGCGTTTGCTGGAGTGAATACGACAAACCCGATTTTCGATTACTCCGGCACATAAATTAGGTCGTATCTCACCAATAACGCGAATGATGTTTGCTTTAGATCGTCAACAGTTTGCAATTTGTTGGAATAAACGAAAGACTTAACACTGTTAACACAGACTTAGACTCTAGGCTATCGCGCGAGAATATATGCGCTTTTTCTTATACCTATAGAAATGTTAAATCAAACTTTGACCGATTAATAGGCTACCGGTCGGTAAGCCTTGACGGCAAAAAAGCGATTAATAGGCTACCGGTCGGTAAGCCTTGACGGCAAAAAGCCGATTAATAGGCTACCGGTCGATAAGCCTTGACGGCAAAAAGCCGATTAATAGGCTACCGGTCGGTAAGCGTTGACGGCAAAAAAGCGATTAATAGGCTACCGGTCGGTAAGCCTTGACGGCAAAAAGCCGATTAATAGGCTACCGGTCGGTAAGCGTTGATGGCAAAAAGCCGATTAATAGGCTACCGGTCGGTAAAGTGCTAACATGGCCCCACAAGGAAAAGTCTAA